TCACATTGTACGACTTCATGGTGTTCCTCTATCCATTTTCTCATATCGAGATCCCAGTTTCACATCACACTTCTGGGAGAGCTTGCAGGAGGCGATGGGTACGAGACTTAATTTCTCCACGGCTTATCACCCTCAGACGGACGGGCAGTCTGAGCGTACGATACTTACTTTGGAGGAGTTATTACGAACCTGTGCAGTGGAAACCCGTGGACCTTGGACGGATTTACTACCCTTGGTGGAGTTTGCCTATAACAAATCTTACCATAGTAGTTTGCAGGCTGCACCATTTGAAGCTTTGTATGGAAGGAAGTGTCGTACCCCGCTATGTTGGGATGTTGAGGGTACTCGGGTTCTTACCAGACCGCAAATGGTCCAAGATACAGAGGAGAAGGTGATCAAAGAGAGATTGCGGGTAGCTCAAGATCTCCAAAAGTTATATACCGATAAGAAGGCTCGAGAAGTTAGCTATGATGTGGGAGAGAAGGTGTTCTTAAAGGTATCCCCATGGAAAGGATTGATGAGGTTTGGAAGGAAGGGTAAGTTAGCGCCTCGTTACATTGGTCCCTACGATGTTATCTCCAAAGTAGGGCATGTGGCATATGAGCTTGCATTACCCCGTGAGTTGGAGAAAATTCACAACGTATTCCACGTGAGTATGTTGAAAAAGTATCATATCGATCCATCTCATGTGATACAACCTGAAAGTGTGGAGTTGGAGCCAGATTTGACCTATGAAGAAAAACCGGTGAGCATTGTGGATCATCAGGTACGTGTGTTAAGAAGCAAACAAATCCCAATGCTCAAGGTTATATGGCGTAATCAGGAGGAGGAGGCTGCAACCTGGGAAACCGATGAGAGTATGAAGAAGAAGTACCCTGAGCTAGTTGAGGCTTATGCTCAACATATGTCGACCTAGTACCTCATGTATTAGATCGACACGAATAGGGTACATTGTAATATATAACCTACAATGTAGAGTGAGAGCATAAGTATGAAATAAAAATTTCCCAAGCCATTAGGTACATAATGGTGGCCAAGGAAATTATCATGTCGTCGTGCTGAGTTAATCGAAGTTTGAATGTACCGATTTCGGGGATGAAATCTAATTAAGAGGGGGAGAGCTGTAACATCCAGAACCTCGGATAATTTTTTTTCTTCCTAGTAGCGGACGTATATTGCACGATTCGAGACTGAAAAAAAATCGAGAAGTTATCCTATACGAGGTAGGATCAACGAAACCACTTAAAAACTCCCCAAACATCAAAAAGTGCAAAAAAATAAATTGTTAGCTGTAGGAATCAAACCTCTGACCTGTTAGTCAGTACAGAAGGGTTCAACAACCTAACCAGTTAGACTATGCAGGTTTCAGTGATACAAAAAGAGCCGAGTCATTAATGAGCTATTGACGTCGGCAGTGCACCAGCAGCTAGCTTGTTTATGGAGCCGGCTTTGGAACTTGAGTTTCTTCCTTTCAAAGCTACTGCTCCTTAGAAGGCCGCCCCTGGCCTTTACTCCATCTGCTGGAAAGTAAATGAAGAGGTAAGAGCATGAATCAAAGAGCTCTACAATACCGGTAAGCTAGCTCTCCATTTTTGCCTTCGTACAAACACCAAGAAGAGAAGAGAAAAGAAATAATATGAAACCAAAGCCTAGCATAGTCTCTGTATTCCCAGAAAAGGTTTAGAACCTATACAAACCTGTTTACAAGCCAAAATTGCCAAACCAACTCACCAAATATCCTTCACCAAAACATTTGTCGTAACCTTTTCGTCAGCCAAACCAATGCCACTATAGGCAGCATCAGCTTCGAAGCTTGATACCGTTACAAAGAGAAAGTCACCACGAGCATCACAGAGTTCACGGAATTGAATTCCGAGCTCAGACGAGGGAGAAACAAGGCCGGGAAGTTGGTACTTGAAGTAAGGGAATTTCCAGTTTTCTGCAGATTTTGGATAGCAGAAAATTAAGAATTAATCCCAAATTTCGTACTAACGATGATCAGCTCGCAGTTTCTTCGTTTGACGTCCAAACGATGAACCGTTTTCGCCTAAAGGACCGTAGAAACGAGGAGAATTTTTAAGAGCCAATCTCTGGAATTTTAGAACTTAATTCCCGACTTGGAATCAGCTAAATTAAGGTGTGTGGGAATTAAGGGGACCTTAATTATTGCATCGATTATTTATGCTTGATTTGCATATTTGGATGGATGAATTACTGGGGGTGATAACTTATTTGTTGATATGATGATTTGGTGATTATTCTTGATTGTTATGAATTTTATGGTGTAAATATCGGTATTTGACAAGTTTCACTGTAAAAATGGATAGTTGGGTTTATTGAGTTTAAAACTGATATAAGATATTTTTGTTTGTCTAAAATGATGTTGGGGCAGATTGAGCAGGAGATTTCAATTGGAAATTTTTTTCGGATTAAAAACTGCATAACGATGAATTTTACGGAAAGCTCGGTAAAAATGTGTTTTATTTATCTTGTGGTTGCATGAGCACCATGGATGAATGTTGTGGTTAAAAACCACGGATTGAGTGTTGTGGTTGCATGAGCACCACAGATGATGATTTGCTCGAGCGAGGATAAGTGTATGGTGACCTTGGCGCCATTAATAATTAACCAGAATTTTCATATCATGCATTGATTATGTGTTCGTAAAATTATGTGATTATCTTATTTGGATAAATTGATTTGGTGATGATGAGTTAGTGGATTCGATAATTTGATCGGTAATTTATATATGATGATTTAAGATGGCATCTAGAGTACTAAATCATGATTGATTATGATTGTTTGATTAGCTGATTGCGGTCCCAAAATTAGGTCGTGGGAAAGATCCACACACACACCTTAGTTGCTGACCCACGTCTGTTTTCAGGCTCGCAGGTGCAACTAGGATCGGACTACTGAGGCTGCCCTATCCTTCTGTACTACCATCATGAGGTAGTTTGGAACACTGTTCTATCATGGTCACCTAGGATTTTTGCTTTGAGTGTTTTCAATAATAACCCACATCTTGTAAAATTCAATAAGTCGGTTGAGGATCGAATAATGAGTTTGTATGATAACGGTTTATGTTTGTGTTTAATAATCGGATATGATGTTTGAGATGATTGAGTTCAACCAGTAACACCGAGGATTTGGCTGCGCGGTTGAACCACGGGTTCAACCATAGAGATTCTGGGTGGGGTGTTACAGCCGTGAACTGAGCCCGATCCCAGTATAAAACGTGAGCTAAAAGGAAGAGAGAGGGAGAGCCCAAGAGTGAGAAAGTACATTCTTTTTCAGATTTTAGAGAGAGAAAAGACGAACCAAAGAAGAAAGGAGGCTAGGGTTTCCTCCAAGTGGTGAATTGGGAAGATCTTCTCAAGAGATGATCAACACAAGATCAAGAGAATCTTCCCATTTCTAGCATGGAGTAGTTACCTTTTTCACTTGGGTGTTGTGAAACCCTAACTATTTGCCATGTAGTTATAGTGTGAATTGAATGATTGTTTATGGGTGTTGTTTAATTTAATGATTGAGGTATTTTTTATGATTATTGTGCATGTTTGTGATTAGCTATCTAATTGGCCATTCTAACCTAGGTTAGAGGGGAAACCCCCCTTTCCAAAAGAGGCTCAATTGAATTGAGATTCCTTGGACTTTTCAAGCCACCTACCTAGGTTAATGTAGGGCAAACCTCTATCTTGAATTAATCGACTAGGTTAATCATGATTAACCCGTCCAACCATCGGTTTGAGAGAGAAGGTAAGTCAACCCTCAGTGGCCTTAACCAAGAGGGCTACTCTAGTAGCCTATAATGTATCCCTTGGTTTGGCAATTGAGAGCATGGTCTTCGACCATAGTTGCACCTCCTAGTGGTTCACGATTGCCTTACCCATAACGTCCTATTCGAGTCCACGTGCTATGGTAGTAGTTAGGGGGAAGCGACACCCTAGTGATCCTTCTCATCTAGAGCTTTCAAACCATTTACCTTTGCTTTGTTTTGATTTAAGCCTCATAGTTTTCAACCAAAAACCAATCTACTAGATAATGTTTCAAACAATAGAAGTAGGGGTACATGGACCGACCCGAGTTGATATTTAAACATACTTGCCCTGTATTGCACCCATCTAATGTTTATACTTAGGCCTTAGGTGGAAATTTGTTTTGATATTCGGGACGATTCAATTCCCACCCTAATTAATCTTTACTAGACACTAACACTCAATTGATGCATGCACCCAACTTGTCTTAATTGCGTTTGAAAACTCCAATCGGGACGCGCACTAGGGGTGGCTATACGGTCCGGTCCGGTTAAATTGGCCCAAATTGATCCGGTCCAGTCCGGTTTTTTTGAAAATATAAGGACCGAAGATTGGATTGGATACAGTCCGGTCTTGATCCGGTCCGGTCTTGACCCGGTCCGGTCCCAATTCGGTCTTGGTTTTATATTGAGATTGTGGGAATTTGAGTGGCCTAAGGCCTAAAAGGGTGAGGAGTTGGTTAAGTTTTGTACTAAGTCCAAAGGTTTGTGACCGTTTATGCAAATTACCCTTAAGTTTTGGATGTTGAGCTCTCTTATCCGGTTTTTTACCTCAAATCTAAGCCCAAAGATTGGATTGGATTGTTTACTATCCGGTCCCGGTCCGGTCTCGGTCCGGGTTATACGGTCCGGTTTCCGGTTTTTCATCCGGTCCCGGTCCAAATAGCCACCCCTAACGCGCACGCCCCAATAAGCGTAGATTCGGAAATATTCTTAAAAGATACCATAATTTGAATAATATCTTTTTAATGCAGTATGTATGGAAAAAAAATCCTATGTTTTCCTTAATTTCCTTTTATGTTAAAAATTTTTTGAATAATATCTTTTTAATGCAGTATGTATGGAAAAAAATCCTATGTTTTCCTTAATTTCCTTTTATGTTAAAAAAAAAATCTAATTATCATTATTCCTTGTTTTATTTATTTTGTTATTTCATTGGCTTAACTTCTTTACTTCATTCTCCACCGCTACTTTTCAGAAAATACCTTCTGGAAACCGTGCTCCCTCCTCCGTCCTCCGAGCTTCCATTCAGTAAACATCATCGGAGGTTTCAGAAATTAGGACCGACATTGCAGCAAAAGGAGGATTTCATCGCCTCGTAAATCTTCTTTACTTTTGTCTTGCTGTGGCTGTTACCACCCTGCATTTAGTTGCCGTCTTCTTCCTCGAGAAATCAGTCTGTCCTTTCTGATCCCTGACCGTAAGTAGTTCTCCTCTATTTCTTCATCTGCTCCTTTCCCTGGTTCTTACATCTCGTTACAAAATCTCGAGTAGAACTGTGAAATAGTCAGACTAATCAACGGCGAATTGGGAGTCTACACAACTCGTTCATAGTGAGACCACGAATGGTTAGCCCAATCTAAGGATTTGCATGCAGGGTATGTTGACTGTTGAGGGACAGTTCTAGGTTGATGTTGGTTTAGTTTCTTAGAAAGGAAGGAGGAAGAAAGATGTTTGTGAAAGAAAATTGTGGGAGCTGCTGGCTATTCAATTATACATTCATGTTAAATTTCTGGAGAAGTCTGATCTCTTTCTTCCGCAGGAGATTTACTTCATCGACACTTCTTTTAGCCATTGATTATGATGTTATGGTTTTGTTCCAACTCTTTTCATCTAGAATCCCAATTTCACCGTACAGTCAGCTGGTTTATGTGGCTCCATCTCTGTTTTGTTTTTCATCTCCAATCCATCTTTGTTTCCCTGAAGCTATTCCATATTGGTTCTTATATATAGGTTGATTATATTCACAGTTCAAGGATCCTCTCACTTAGTAGAAGCTCAAACAAAGCCAAGAGGGAGCGAGACCGAGGAATTCTAGAAATAAATGTCTCAAGGAAATCATGGGGTTGAGATTCCCAGAGTGAAACTGGGTACCCAAGGTCTAGAGGTATGCCCAATTGCAACCCTCTTCTGCAATTTCCTTTCTTCCTTTTCGGTCGTTCTGGGTCATAATCGCTGCTTCAATATCATTTTATTTTTGTAGAAGCTTTATAATCAATTGATAGTACGTATGGATGATTGTTGACTGCGGGAGCACAAAATTTTGACATGGGTTTTCTGAATTCCTAGGTGTCGAAGTTGGGGTTTGGATGCATGGGGCTAACAGGGATGTACAATGCTCCAGTGCCAGAAGATCTGGGTATTTCAATCATCAAGGAAGCATTTAACAATGGGATAACTTTCTTTGACACCTCTGATGCTTATGGCCCTTACACCAATGAAACTCTGCTTGGCAAGGTACATTATTTATACAACCTTCTTATAAACTGAACTTGGCTATTGGAAGAATAAAGATCCGATTTTAACTGTACCCATCAAGAGATGGAGTGTTTTTAGAGCTTCCCATGTGATGTTTTTGGCAGGTACTGAAGCAATTGCCAAGAGAGAAAGTCCAGGTGGCTACAAAGTTTGGGATCACCTTTGATAACTTCAATCCCAAAGAAGTTAAGATTAGAGGCGATCCTGCTTATGTTCGTGCCTGCTGCGAGGCTAGCTTGAAGCGTCTCGATTTGGATTACATCGATCTTTACTATCAGCACCGGGTTGACACTTCGGTTCCCATAGAGGAAACGGTAATTGAGTTTGTTTGAATCCTGATAAACCGTTAATATTAACAGTTTCATTTAAGCCCTGTGCTTTTTAGACAGGATTTCCGTTTGAGAATTTTTTTTTCTTCTATCTTTTTGGCAGATGGGAGAGCTTAAGAAGCTCGTTGAAGAAGGCAAAATCAAGCACATTGGACTATCTGAAGCCAGTTCCGACACAATCAAGCGAGCTCATGCTGTTCATCCCATCACTGCAGTGCAAATGGAATGGTCAATTTGGACTCGTGATATTGAGCCAGAAATCGTCCCTCTTTGTAGGAAACTTGGGATTGCGATAGTTGCATACAGTCCAATTGGACGTGGCTTCTTTGGAGGGAAAGGAATCACTGAGAGCTTGCCCTCAGAGACTGTCTTGGTAAGAACCTCAAACGGATTCTCCTGCATATGGACCTGAAAACATATTACAGTTTTCTAGAGTGCAAAGCATTATATAAGATTTTTGCTATGCTGTGGTTGCAGAGGATGCATCCAAGGTTCATTGAAGAAAGTAAAGAGAAGAACAGAGTGCTCTACACCCGAGTCGAGAAGCTAGCAAATAAACATGGCTGCACTCCTGCTCAGCTTGCTCTTGCATGGGTCTTGCATCAAGGAGATGACGTGGTGCCCATCCCTGGTTAGTCCCTTCAACACCACATTGGCCTTTCTTAAGAATTTAACCTAACCATATTCGCTTGTGCTGATCTTGTTGTTTGGCCATTTTCCTTATTCTGTTTCTGAAGGGACAACCAAGCTGAAGAATCTGGCAAGCAACATGGAATCGCTGAGAGTGAAGCTGACAAAGGAAGATGTGGAGGAGATTAGTGCGGCGGTCCCTGTGGATGATGTTGCTGGAGTCAGATCTGCTAGTTATCAGCTCACATGGAAGTTTGCTGATACACCATTGCCAAGCAAGAACTAATTAGCTGACTTATCCGCTCATATATGTTCTCTGCAGATATTGATATGTAGTTCGCATTATTATAAACATAAAAGCTCAATACAAAATGTTGTAAGCAGTTTGTGTCTGATGTTGGTCCATGGAATAGTGGCTTAATAATAAGAATAAAAATAAACTAGTTTTGTGTCCAGCCTGTATGGGAAGAGTGATTGAAAGTTTGTAGTTGCAGAGAGGGTAGCTATGTTGTTCTTTTAAAATTTAATGATAAATTGGTGAGTTCTTGGAAACAAGGTATTGAATGTTTAAAACAAATCCACATAGCAAAAGAAATGTAATTTGTAATTGAGCACATTTGATGAATAGAGCAGTTGTGGAAGGGTAGGTTAGTATATAAGCATCCAATTAACCCATATCAAGTTATGCCCGCAAATGAGAAGGAAAATATGAAGGAAAACAAACGATAATTTCGGTGGTTCCTACCTAGACATGATATCGTTTGTAATGGAAAAGTACAACATACATGAAACAGATAGTAGAAACAGAAGAGGAATGACCCATAGCCAATTCATCTTCAAAAGTGGCAACCTCCTCTTGTGGATTGTCATTAATGGCTGGTTCTGCCAATTGAGGTGGAGAAGCCGAGAAGCAGTTGTTGCAACGAATTACGAAGAGGAATGGCCACTCAACAATTCTCCTTTAGGCATAAATATCATGTCGTTAGGAAGAATGTTTACCGATTGGAAATAAAAAGAATCAAATTACTGTGTCGCAAACGCAATAGAGTTCTATCCTAACATGTTGTTGCCTCACTGGCGACCCTGCTTCTCTTCTCCAGATCTACGATTCACTCCCTCTCCTTAGCAACTCCCCTTCTCCCACCGCCTCCACTAACTCCCTCTCGTTGCTTCTCTGCTTCCTCTCTCTCTCTCTCTCTCTCTCTCTCTCTCTCTACTTCCAATCTGGAACTCTCTGTAAATGGCGGACAGAGCAATTAGGGATTGGAATTGTGGCGGCGGCGTTCAGATTAAGGGCGGCGTTCATCCAGCGCGTCGCCACCTCCGAAGTCCTTGGGCGAGCGCTTGAGAAGCGGAGGCAGCGATTCTTCGTCGTCATCGTCCTCTTCTCCATCGCTCTTCCCGAAATCGGCAGCTCCGCCTTTGTACACCGTCGTGGCGTAGATGTCGTCGGTCTCTGGTCTGCGAGAGGGTTTGGCTCTGGCTCTCGGCTCCGCCTCGGATTCTGACGAGGAATCGTGGACCACGACGGTGGAGTAGATGTCGGTTGTCGGAGCCGGCGATTTCCATGATCGGCGAGAAGTGGACGTATAGATGTGGGTTTGAAGTGGCAACTATGAATTCGTCGGAGCTAGATCTATACTTCTCTCATGGTAGCTATAGATCTCTGGGTTTGGATTGATTTGCGGCTTGCAGGGACTGGGGTCTTGGCTGCTCATTGTTTGAAGCAAATCTGAGAGTGAGAAGGGATATTCTTGTATGATTAATTGAGGAAGATTGTGTGGCGAGAGTTCCTGATTAGGCTATCTCTGCTCAGGTTTCCATTTCTCAGTAAAAGGCCGCAACAATTGTGGGCACAAAGTTACTGGGAATGGAGAGGAATTAGAGGGGGAAGAGGAAGAAATGGTTGGCGACAAAGTTACTGGGAATAGAGAGGAAGAGTGGGAAGAGGAAGAGGAAGAAGCGGAGATTGGGTGGGGGTGGGTAGCAAATAATTTTTTTATTTTAATTTTATAAGAATTTTTTATTTTACTTATAACTCAATTTTTATTTAATTTGAATTAAAAAATATGATGTCAATGACGTGGCATCTATGTGGCAGACACATTTTTTGCCACGTCAACAAAAGTCAACTACGCGTTGACCACCGTTTGGTCAACCGTTATTTTTAACGGTCAAAGAAATTAACAGGATACAAATGACACAAAGTATCATAGTTCAGGAAGCAGATGGAATATTCGATAAAATAGGATACACGTGGCATTTTTGTGATAGTTCGGGTGTTGTAGTGGTATTAGCCATTTTTAAAAAGAAATACGACATAACTGTAACCAATCTACAAAAAGAAACTAAAAAATGCGAGAAAAATTCATATTAACTAAAATAAAGGGAGAGTTTAAACCCTACCTCCCTGCCACATCTAATATTATATTAGATATGTATCACAACACCAATACTACATACATTATATAATTTACTAAATGATATCAACTGTTCATAAAAAGAAAGAGTGATACACTAAATAATATATAGACGGTTAATAGGGATAATAACATTTTGTACGCTTCTACTATTACAAGTTAACAATTGTACCTCTCTATTATTATTTTGAAAAAATATATCCTTTTATTATCAAATTCTAACTAAGGTACCCTTCTATTATTTTTTTTTTCGTCATTTTGTCCTTAAAAGGGAGGCGAATTGACTTATTTACCCCTTAATTCTATTATTATTTTGTTACTCAATTAAAATCTCAACAATAAACTTTAAGCTATTATCTATATTCTTTTACACTCCTTTATTGGGTTTCAGTAGTGACAGTGAGAGCAGGTCGGGCGACTTCGCCGCCACAGCCGAAGGAGAAGCACCTGAGATGCGAGACATACATGTTCCTTATCCGATCTAAATCGGATGAGATAAATAATTATATTAGATATGTATCACAACACCAAACACTACATACATTATATAATTTACTAAATAAAATCTACGGTTCATAAAAAGAAAGAGTGAGACTAGGGATGGCAATTATACCCATACCCATGGGTATTTTACTATCCAACCCAATTGGGTTGGGTATGAAATCCAAATATATGGATATGGGTAAAGTTTGATGGGTTTGTACCCATACCCATTTATTTTGGGTTGGGTTGGGTTTATAACAAATGGATTTGGGTTTGTACCCATGCCCAAATACAAATTACAGTTTGGTACCTAAACTTAATAGATATGCATATTTAGTACCTAAATTTAATTTTTTTTTGCATATAAGTCCTCAAAATATCGATGGAAAATTACGTTTTGGCACCTAAATTTTTTTGGTCTTACATTTTGGTACCTAAAATTTTCAAGTTTTACAAATAAGTCCAATTTTTGCATGTGTAGTTAAGACACCCTCAAGTAAATGGATATCCATATCCAACCCATACCCATTTAGATAATATCCATATCTAATCCAAACCCATATACAAACCCCAAACCCATACACACATCACCCAAACCCTACCCATAATAGATGGGTCTACTTGGGTTTGGGCAAAATTACCCATGGGTGGGTAAATTGCCATCCCTAAGTGAGACACTAAATAATATATAGACTGTTAATAGGGATAATAATATTTGTACGCCTCTACTATTACAAGTTAACAATTGTACCTCTCTATTATTATTTTGCAAAAATGTATCCTTTTATTATCAAATTCTAACTAAGGTACCCTTCTATTAACTTTTTCGTCATTTTTTCCGTAAAAGGGAGGTAAATTGACTTATTTACCCCTTAATTCTATTATTATTTTATTACTCAATTAAAATCCCAACAATAAACTTTAGGGTGTGCCTACGGTGACATGCATGTCACGGTGACTTGCACTTTCCGGTCGACCTCAGTTAGGATTAGGTCGACCTCATTTAGAATTCGGTCGACCTCATATAGGATCTGGTCGACCTCATTTAGGATTCGGTCGACCTCATATAGGATCAGGTCGACCTAATCTGTTGTTTCAGTGTAAAAACAGTTTATGGTGCCTACTTTGCATATTCATATCATACAATTGGCTAGATGGAAATTGAAGACTAATGACTTATTTTGAAGCTGGAGTGTCCCTCTACATATTCAAGTGATTGAGAGCTCGATAGGAAGTCCAGAAGACCATTTTTGAACCTCATCAAAAGGCTATGCCAAAACTGGAAAACTGCCTGGAAATGGCTAAGTTTGGAAACGTGTTTGTGAAGCCTATTTTGGAGCTCAATTCGAGAAGCATGAATACGAGTCGAGTCCAGGAGCCTCTACCACGTTAAATTATGTATGTTTTTATACAAATTCAAGGCATTGGATATCTGTATGTCTTCAAACAAAAGGGTCGAAGTTGCTATGAAGGCTGTTTTCTGGCAGACTTCGAGCACAAGCAAGTTGCCAGAAAAACAGCCTTCGTAGCAACTTCGAGCCTTTTGTTTGAAGCCTTAAAGATATTCAATATTTCATCAAATGTCTTGCCTTTGTATAAAAAAATACGTAATTTAACGTGTAGAGGCCCCTGGACTTGACTCGCATCCATGCTTCTCAAATTGAGCTCCAAAGTAGGCTTGACAAACACGTTGCCAGACTTAGCTATTTTCAGGCAGTTTCCCAGTTTTGGCATAGCTTTTTGGTCAGGTTCAAAAATGGCCTTCTGGACTTTCTATTGAGCTCCCAAGTACTTTAATGTGTAGAGGGACACTTCAGCTTCAAAACAAGCCTTTAATCTCTAATATTCATCTAGCCAATTGTAAGATATGAATCTCCAAAGTAGGCACCATGAAACTGTTTTTACACTGAAACAACATATTAGGTCGACCTGATCCTATATGAGGTCGACCGAAAAGTGCATGTCACCGTGACATGCATGTCACCATAGCAAAGTCCTAAACTTTAAGCTATTATCTATATTCTTTTACTCTCCTTTTATTGGGTTTCAGTAGTGACAGTGAGAGCAGGTCGGGAGACTTCGCCGCCGCCGCCGAAGGAGAAGCACCTTAGAAGCGAAACGTACATGTTCCTCATCCGATCTAAATCAGATGAGATAAATAATGATATTAGATATGTATCACAACACCAAACACTACATACATTATATAATTTTACTAAATGAAATCTACGATTCATAAAAAGAAAGAGTGAGACACTACATAATATATAGACGGTTAATAGGGATAATAACATTTTGTACACTTCTACTATTACAAGTTAACAATTGTACCTCTCTATTATTATTTTGCAAAAATATATCCTTTTATTATCAAATTCTTACTAAGGTACCCTTCTATTAACTTTTTCGTCATTTTGTCCTTAAAAGGAAGGTGAATTGACTTATTTACCCCTTAATTCTATTATTATTTTGTTACTCAATTAAAATCCCAACAATAAACTTTAAGCTATTATCTATATTCTTTCTTTTACTCTCCTTTTATTGGGTTTCAGTAGTGACAGTGAGAGCAGGTCGGGAGACTTCACTGCCGCCGCCGTCGAAGGAGAAGCTCCTGAGATGCGAAACGTACATGTTCCTCATCCGATCTAAATCA